TAAAACAAGAAATTACTTTTACTTGCGTTTCCAACTTCTCCGTTCCTTTACTTTTCATGTTGTAGTTCTTCTTCTTCACTTGCCGTGTCTTTTTGATGTGTTGTGGCTTTTTAATGTGTTGTGGCTTTTTAATGTGTTGTGGCTTTTTGATGTGTTGTGGCATTTGCGTTTGTGTTGTGGTGTTTGTATTTGTTGCGGCGTTTGCATTAAAATAGAGTCCCGCTGTCATTTCCGTTGTGGCTTTTTTTTGTTTGTTGTGGCTTTTTGTTGTGTTGTCGCATTTGTATTTGTTGCGGCATTTGCGTTTGTTGTGACCCCTCTCGGCTTCCGTAGGAGGGTGTGTGTATGAAGCGCAAAATACCTGTTCAAAACACAATCAAACAGCATCTTCCTGGGCACATCACCTGCACATGTCTCCTGCAGAAAGAGCCTGTGTTCTGTCTGCATCATGTCAGTGTCTTGGAGGAGTTTAACAGATTTCAGACTCTCCTGGGGGCGGGGATAGGTGTATGGATCAGGTATGAGTGGATGTCCAGCTACTGAAGTTGTGAGATGTTTCTTCTTGTCATTTACACATACAGGTAAGACGTATCCCCCCCTCACTAATGTTCATTTAGCATCAGAACTTATTTTATCACACAGCGATAAACTATTTGAGTGCACTGACAATATCCATCCATATATTCGCTGCATTATTTTATTAGCCGCAGGGTTCAAAGTGAGAAAAAAGTAGTGGCTTATAGTCCAGAATTTACAGTAATCAAATTTGACTTGCACAATACCTAGAATTCAGGAATCCCTTGGTGAGCTGCTCTGAAGGGGGTGAAGGATGACAGATTGGAGACCCCTGCCCCTGTTAACGGACATTTGTAATTAGAGTGTACATATGACAGATTCTAACAAAAATGCTGTTTTTCCTTGGCAAGTGACACAGAGAACAATGCAAAACACAAAACAGTTACACAGAGACAGAACACAGAACTGTAAAAGGTCAGATTCAAAGTGTTCAGAGACTTGTTTATCCTTCATCCACAGTTTAAATGTAGTTTAAATGTAGCTACAGATGGACTTTTTCTTATTATCACTGCGAGACTGTTCCAATAATTAGTCGCTTTGACAGACAGCATCACTTGTCCAAATGTGTGCTACCTCACAGTTCCCTCGAGCTGTGGCCCTGATGCCCTCCCACTCACCTCACATTTCTTAGTTTTATTTAGTCCTTCATTGGAGGAGGAGCGAGTCATTTAGTAAACAGCTAAGAGAGTAGAATCCATGGCAAAGAGGAAATTCCATTTGTCAAGTGGACAAACGTTTATTTAGCTCATCCAAGCTGCTTCTTCACTTCTGGTCAGACGTTGGTGGGTCATAGCCTGATTCATCAGCCGGTTTCACTTTGTGGAAACTGTCTAACCTCACAGTGTTAGAATTTGTTCGCTCGACTCTAGGTGAGTACTTTTTTTATTTAATCAGTCTGTGCTATTTGGTCGTGATGTATGTAATGCGCTGTTAACTGGGTTAATTGGTATATTAAGCTTTTCCAAAATCCCATAGGAAGAAGGACAATAACGTCTTTCTCCTTGATAAAATTCACCTAACATTCTCTTTATTCCGGCTTTAAATCCTCGATCTCGGGAATCGTTGACAATGCAGAAAATATGGCTCTTTGCTGATTGGCTGGTGCCCGAACCCACACTTGTTTTTGCAAACAGTCTAGTGTATTCCGATTCCTGACCTAGTCACTGGAGAGAAATTAAATTGAGTGGAGGCTCTAGGTGACGCTTGCCTGGCTACGTGGATTCTTCCTGCAGGCAGATATAAGGAAGTGTCCTCCAGCATCTGACTAGAAGTGAAGAAGCAGCTTGGATGAGCTGCAAAAAGTTTACAACCTAAATAAATGTTTGTCCAGTTGACAAATTGAATTTCTCCTTTGTCATCTATTGTTATTGGTCTATCTACAAAGTAATTAAGACAAAGCGTGTCCCATGTTAACATCAGGGTTGCTAGGTAACAGTTAGGAAAATAACTTTACATATGTCATATTTGCTGCTTGTGTCCAACAGGAAGTAACATTTTAAACTTTGCCAAAATAATAATAAAAAAAGAAAAAGTCAGGCACATTTTGAGTAATATTTTAAATCTAATTATGTTAACAATGTTTTAGTGAAAAATGACTCTAACCTGTCGCATGCTCTGTAATGTTTAGGAAAAATCTGTTATAATAATCAGATTACCCGATAATTATATCTGCTGTGTTTACATGCACTAAATCTGATCACCATAAACTCCAGGGATGTGTTAGAAACTGAAGTACATTTTTAAATCATTTATCATTTAAATGTTTTCTTTTTCATTTTTGTCTTTGTCACATTGGTTTGCCCCTTTTTTGTTTGCATTTTGTTTGCAAGTGACTTTGTCCAAACCTGCACAAGTGTGAGCCATGAGTAAGAGCTCAGATTTCTCACACCAGATGGAAGTACACGGTGTTTCAATGATCTAGTAACACAAGAAATCGATTGGTTTTTGATGTGCATGGAAACATAGCCACTGTCAGCTTTCCCTCTATTCTAGTCCATGTTCATATCATGTTATGCTGAGTCTTTTTTTTTTGCTAATACAGGCCAGATAATACTTTTTACATTGGAGAATTTTCACCATTGTTTTGTGTGTTTTACTAACCTTGCCCAGTCACATGTTTTAGGTTAAGAGGCCCTTTGTACTGCTCTCTGCACTCGTGTATAATGACACTATAACACCATCATGAAAGCTGTGACAAAATGATGGATTAGACAGGATCATGCTCCAGCGCGTAGAGCCAGAGTCTGCCCTGAAGGCTCCACGCACAACAGCCTAAATCATTTGTCTCACAAGTGTGTCTTATATAAACAGAACCTGTAACTCTAAAAACACCACGATTCAAATGATCACATTTCACAAGCTCACATTTACTGATGGACAGCACCTTATATATTACACTCAGCTCACCTCCAGTATCTAGGTCATGGCACGATCTCCAGGATTACTCCCTCCAATGACTGAAAGTTGGCAATAGAGCGAATTCGAAAAGCAATTCTTATTAGGGTTGTCAAAAGTATCGAAAATCAGATACTAATGGAGACTAAAGCTAGTATCGATTCCACCCATCCATTTTCTTCCGCTTATCCGGGGCCGGGTTGGGGGGGCAGCAGTCTAAGCAGGGACTCCCAGACTTCCTTCATCCCAGACACTTCCTCCAGCTCCTCCGGGGGAATCCCGAGGCGTTCCCAAGCCAGCCCAGAGACATAGTCCCTCCAGCGTGTCCTGGGTCTTCCCTGGGGCCTCCTCCCGGTGGGACATGCCCAGAACACCTCTCCAGAGAGGCGTCCAGGAGGCATCCAGAACAGATGCCACCTCAGCGGCTCCACTCCAAGCTCCTCCCATGTGACTGAGCTCCTCACCCTATCTCTAAGGGAGATACATACTGTCCCTGCACACTCCAGTCACAATAATGCACCTGGTTGTGACAAGAAGGAAATCAGTCTTAAAAACATAACTTTACAAATCACCATGTATTTAGTTCAGATTTCTTCCAGTCCAACATCAGCTCTGCCTATGTTTAAAAGTACAGAGTTTTGTTTCACTGTTTTGTAACAGCAGGATATGAAGTGAGGAGGAACAATCATTGCATTTTTCTGGAACATCTGTAGATGTTGTGTCTGTAAACACTGAGCAGATCACAAATAGTTGTAATATTTTGTGTAGACAGCAGTGTATGTTCTGTTGGCTTTATCATTTTCACAGTTAGACTTTCACACGGGGACATTTGCACGGTACCACTGGGAGTGTGACTTAGTTCAGTTCCTTCCTTTGTTCATTGTTTTGTTAATATGTCTCAACTGACTGAGAGGCTGTAGATTAAACAAGTAAATACATTTGATATTCAAATGAAACAGCCGAGTGGCTGATGAATGTGGACCTGGACTGTTCTCGATGGGTTTCCCCCATCAACCCAAAACACACTTCAATTATACAATTCCTCAGCTGTGGCAGCCTTGACCAAGACCTGGAGTTATTTCACATTTTATATAAAATATAGTGTAGTACAGTGAAGCAAGTGCCGTGCACAAGTGCACTAAACTATGCAGTAGTTTATGTATTTAAAGTTTTATTGCTTGATTGGTTCATCATTTGTTCTGTATTTCATTTCAGTTCAAGTTACTTTCCATAAACGTTTCAATATATTGTTTGCATTGGATCCACTCTGACCCCATTTGAGAACAAAAGGGACATGCCTTTCTCTTTAGTAAACACATGTGTGTTTCTCTTTTATCCTGAAGCTGATATGGTCCAGGCTTCTCAAAGTGTTTCATTAAACTGCTTCATCCGCTCATGTTCTATTGAAAATCACGACGCCGTCAATTATGACACGTAATGTGTTTTCAGATAATAACAGTTGCAGAAACATTTAGAAACAGTTTCAGAAACATTCACTACTTTAGGAAATATTGCCATTAACATACATTGATTTAAAATGTTATAAAATGAGTTATAGATGAGTGAATCTTAAAGGCAATTTTCTGATCTATGATATAATGTCTTTTCCTCATCACAAACAGACCTGGAGTTGTGTTTCATTCACACATGTTTAATACACAAACTCCACACATTTAGGCTGAGTTCTGAATTTTCAAACTGAACATACTTTGTTCGGTGTGATAATAATCGTTGTGTATAATAATACAGGAAGTGCTTCACCATCACCAAAAACATTTGGATGATTTCAGCCCTTCAATTGCCTTTGCAATCTCTATTAAACAAAAGGAGCTGTTAACGTGAAAACTACCACTAGATGACATCACAATGTGGAATAATAAGATTTCTCAAACATGTGTGAATGAAACAAAATGCAACTGTGGTTATGTTTTTGATGAGGAACCATTTTAACATGAGTCAGTTTTGTATAATGTAAGAATTTAAATGAATCTCAGTCCAGCAACTGTAGTAAAAGTGTAACTGTTTTCCAGGGTTTGTTCCCACGGCCTGGAGCTTCTCGTGGAGATGGGACAGTGCCCTCAGGACCAGAGCGTAAAGGCACCATCACCCGAGGAGATGTGTTTGTGGTGGATGAAGACACCGACCTCATGGACCCCTTCTTCATACACCCCAACTGGAAACCTCCGAGGAACAGTCAGAAGAGCCACCAAAAGGGAAAGCCCGACGTGTCCAAGGACCTGGAGGAGAACATTACCACAGATAAAAAGACAGACGCTGGTGGGAGGACTATCCCTATATATCCTGGAAAACCTTCAGATGACATCATTGATCTGGATGCAGGAGTAGCCCCCAAGAAGCCCTCTGTTACTCCAAAATCCTCCGTTAAAGCAGAGGAGCTCAAACCCACCAGCTCACACTCAGGCCCGAGCAGAGAGCCCGTGAAGCAGGAGCAGCCTCGAGTGATCAGCGCCGTGTCCAGGGAGGGAGACCTGGTGCTGGGATCTGACGGGAAATGGTACAGGCTCCAGAGAGGCCCTAAAGGTCGAATGGGACCCCCTGGACCTGAAGTGAGTATGATAAGACTGGATGTACTTTGCCAAAACAACTTAGTGGTATGTGTGTTTTGAAGAATATGCTGGATTGCTGGATCTTATCACTTATTACTTCACCTCTAAAGTTCTGTGGTATCATTCTGTTCTTATCTGGTGTCATTTTGTTGCCTGGGATACACAACACACTTCAAAGATGTGTCTGGTCACCGCTGAGTTCAGAGTGTGATTGGCAGGTGGATTAGCCAATCAGTGACAGGCTTAATCCGTCTGTGTCAAAACAAAAACAGCTGTTCATTGGAAAAAGAAGGAACAGATATCACAGGGGACTGAAAAAAAACATAGATTTCTCCAGAATCACTGAGCGAAGGTGAAAACTTAGGTGAGAGAGAAATGACATTTTATTCAAACTGATGGGTGACTAGCGACCTCCTTTGTATCACATGTGTTATGTAGTGTTTGAGGCATGATAAAGGGAGTGGGAACCAGACTGATGTCCCTTTACATATATAACATATATACAGAGAAATCATTCAGGACGTGCACATGGGCAAACGGGGACTAAAAATAGCCTTACAGCTTTTGCAGTTTCAGCAGCATCTTTTCAGTACTTTTATTAAACTGCAATATTTGGTACTTGTTAGGATAAATAACTAGGCTTTGCTATTTTGTACAATCACTTCTATAGTTCATTATTGTACAGAGGTCATGTGAAGATCAGGGCTCTGATCACAGCTGTGAGACTCAAAGATGTGTCAAGACAAATGCAGGATATTCCAGTCTTTCTAATAGCAAACTAACTAAACAGGACAGAACTATGACAGGGATGATGTCATGACTTGTTATCCAGATAACACCCGGATGGAGTCTGATTGGACTGTGCATCGTGTCAAGAGGCCTGGCTGACCTCTGCACCAACGAAGAGGTGCTAAGTAGGGGTGTGCAAAAATATTGAAATATCGATATATCGTATCATTTAATGTAATGATACAGTATCAATATCGTGGGCTGCTGTATCGATATATCGTCAAGAGCATTTTTTGGTATATTTTACTAAATTATTTGGTTACAGAGCTACAGTTTTGTTGCTTGTTCAAAGGAAGGAAACTTGTTTATTCGACACATTTGACATTTTCACTGTTTTTGATTATTAAAATGTTTGTGTTTTATATTATCTTTGTAGAAGAAGTGGTTTGACAAAGACTTTTAGTATCACAGCCATGATTTAGCCTTTATTTTTTTATTGAACCGTATTGAATCGTTTTGAAATATATCGTATTGAATCGTATCGAATCATAAAAACACTGTATCGAGATATGTATCGTATCATGGCCTATGTATCAAGGTATGTATTGTATCAGTAACTTCTTAATGATACCCAGCCCTTGTGCTAAGTCTAAACCATGCTGTCCTCCCACTATAGTTTGTGTATAAAAGTCATTGTATCAGCGTAAAACATTGAGTCTCTGCATGAGAATGTCGGCACAGACGCCTTGTACAAGTATGACTTTCTAATATTGGAATAAGTAAATTATCTGGACTTTATTTCTGTTTCAAGTGTATTTTTATCTAAACAGAAACTAACAAACACGAGAGGAAAATGTTGTTTTCCTCAACATACTGTAAAAGTAAAAACGACCAAAAGTGATTTTGTCCACTAGTATAAGGCATAAACTTGTGATCAGTGTGGTGTCTGGGGTCTTTCCTGCTCCTTCTTTATTTCTGCAGGTTAGTCTTTTGAGACTTGATGTCTCAATTTCAAGATGGACCTGTTGAACTTCTATTTTGTTCTCTTGCTGTCACGGGCAAAAGGAATCTAAAACTACGTTGTTTTGTGAGATTAAACAGCACATCTTACAATCTGTGTAGAGGCCTGCATCTAAATGTGTGCATTTGTTCTTGGCTGTAGCCTCTAATGGTTACAGGATGCTGTGCTCATAGGTTCACTTTACAACTTCACATGTCACAAGAAAATGGCTCCAGAATAACAGCCAGATCAGATGTTGTTCATGATTAAAGGGTTGTCAGGCATGGCTGTCACCCGTCTGTTATCCACAAAAGCTTTTCTATAAAATGTACACATGTATTTGTGTGATATGACTGTGACCAGACAAATCCATGAGAGCCGGCATGTTACACAGCTATTACATAATCAAAAACATGCACGGAGTTTTGCAATCTATTGTTCGTGCATGTTTAAGTAATCGTTATCTGCTGTTGTTGCTGTTGTTTAAATGCTTTCATAGATTGATCCATTTATCAGTATGTTTTAATCGGAGCTTTATTATAACACAATATGACCAGAAAGAGCTTAAACAAGTTAAACAAGTCTCTCACACATAACATTACAGTTACCAGCCATCAGTCACCATGATAACTGCTGAACATTCCACCATAGACATACATGTAGAACAGCTCCAGTGTGATGTTGCTGCAAAGTATCAATAACATTACATCTACACTTTGCTGCCCTCTGCTGGTTAGACACGTTTCTGATCAATACCTGAGTTCAGCCAGTGGAAGAAACACTGGAAACCTTTTTCTCTGTGACATGTTCAGTATTTTTGATGCTTTCATACTTGCTGTTCTTATCCCGTTCTGTTTATACTTTAAGATAATTCAAATAATTTTCCAAAGATGATAAAGAGAACTTCACATGGAGCTTCATATTATATGTTCTAAAGTGGAAACACATTTGATAAAAGGGATAAGTGCAACAGAGCTGTTAAAAAAGCGTGTTATAGCCACACTGACCAGACAACCTGCAGTTCCATCTGGTCCATGCTGAGTCATAAAGTCCACAGCACACGCAGCACACTCAGCACTTTAGCCAGATTAAAGCCACTTGTGGCATGAGGAAAAGCCAGTGTAAGCTCCACCTCTGCTCTCTAACATCTCCTCTTCTGTGTCCAGGGCTTCAGGTTGTCACACTGATGAAAGAACCATGTGTAAGGCTATTAGCTCACAATGATCACGTCTTCTGACAGGGGGAAAGCAGAGTTAGAATTCAGCTGCTTTTCATCATGTAGTAAAAGTTTTACAGATACAAGAGATAAGGCAAAATTGGCCAGATAAGCAAGAGAAGAAATCACTATTAAAATAGTTGCACAATTTGCTAAGCTATAATTATTTGCATACAATGACCTTTGCAGACATCCAAAAGGACTGGAAATGAACGAGCCAGTGTTCACTTGTCATTATATTTCTGGTTGTTGGCAGTTCTATCACTCATCTGTGTCCCAGTGGAGACAGATCACCACTGTTTTTGAGCTACAGGCAAAGATTTTCACATGATTAAATGGTGAACGGTCACATTTATACAGAACTTTACTGCCTCCAATGGGCACTCAAGACGCTTTACATCACTGCACATGAACACTGGGGAGTTTAGCGGTTACTAAGCCTTGTGCCACTTTATTCTCATTTGAAATAATCGCGTTCTCGTTGTACAGACACAGTATTTGTCAGTGAAATGTAAAATGTGCTGTGTGTCCTACAGGGTTGTCCTGGTGATGTGGGTCTGACAGGATTTAAGGGAGATAAGGTATGTACCCTGGTCTTTTTGTACTTGTTTAAAGTGGAATCTTAGAGGAATATTGTACAAGATTTTCAGAGATGAATTAAACAATATGATGTTACAGAAACACTACATTAAAGCTACAGTATGTAACTTTATGGAGGCAACAGTTCATGCATGATTCCATGGAAATTGAAAGTTAAGACCATTGCAAATTTTATGTCAAACTGTGAAAGATTATAGCCAAAGGAACATTTCCATGGAAACAGACAGAAAAAGACCCTCCCCCAGTCCAATTAAGTCAGGTTTGTGGAGATGCAAGTCCGCCCACGTCCAGTTTTTTTTTTTTTTTTTTTTTCAGTGCAATAAACACAAGCAAAATGTTCCATTATTTGAGTCTATTTTTAACTAGAGTTACATACTTTGGCTTTAATTATTTTTTTGTATTACTAGTTTAATTGACTGATAAAAACAGTGATTGATGGAATCTTATGACATAAAGAAGTTTTCTTGTTTCAGTACTGTCAAATTTGTGAGATTTATACAAATGTGTTATTGATATTGTATTTTGTCACGTCCCTGTTGTGTATGAACTGAAATAAATGTTGTGATTATGATAATGATATTATAATGAGAGTCGTGTACACATAAAAGAGCCACATCCCTGATTTGAACAGGGAGTCTCCAGTCTCACAGTTTGGACTTTAAGGTTTGTTTCTCCAGTTAGTATCACCCAAACAGCCATGTCAGGGTCACTCTAGGTTAAGATGAGCACTCACCTTGGATATGATTGTTCTTATTCTTGTCTTGTATTGATTGTTCAGGGTAAGACTGGTCCTGAAGGCAGACCAGGAAGGAGAGGAGAGCCAGGACCTCCAGGACCTGCAGGTTTACCCACGCTCTACCTGTGGAGGAACACAGCAGAGGAGTGGACTGCCTTCCAGGTAACGTCATCTCATCAAACCAACATCTAAACTAAAGAAACACTACCACATGGCTCTAATTGTCCTGTTTAAAGGGCACGCTTCCAATTAAACTTTGATTAAAATAGGTCTCCATTTCCCCCGAATCATTGCTGAATCCCAGTTTGTTTTGTTAGGATCACTTCTCCATTGTTCTACTTGCTGAGTTTTCCTGGATTAGTGTTAAAACAACAATTCTAGTGATGCAATGAGGCATTTATAAACACATCTTTCCTCCTCTAACTGGCTGCGTAACAGGCTGAGGAACATTTCATTTTGTGATGAAGTAATATTGATTATATTGTATTTGCCATGAAAATTTTAAAAGGTAAATTCACAACTGTTAAACCAAATAATTTCTATTAGTGACTTAGGCCCAAGAGCTCTACAAGAACACCACAGTTTAACAGTATTCATTTCAGCTGCCTCCATCTGTGCTGGATGATTGATGATGTCACCTGAACCCCAGAAACATGACTGCGTTCAAGACCAAAGAACAGTTCAGAGCCAACTAGTAGTATAATATTTTGTGTTCTTGTGACCCGAGCAGGATTTCAAATCGCACGTCTAAAGTCATGTGGGCCAAATGTGTGAGCCATAAACCTGCCAGCCCTGTCATCACAAGTATCACCATTCAGCAGTAAAACCACAGCTGACAGCAGCACGCGGGGTTAAAGAGCTCCTGCATCTGAACAAGCCTTTGTGTCTCTCAACACGTTTGACTCATGTTCATGTGGGACTTTGCTGTCATAAGTACTGTTTTTGATTCCTCTAAATAGTGACTCACAGAAGGTGTTCTTCTAACATCCACAGTGTTTCAGGACTACAGAATCAAGAGCCTGTTGTAGACTCATTAAAGGACCAGAACCAAGGCTTGGGTTGTTCACATTGTGTAACTGTCTCTACTAATAACAATGGCACAGAGGTTTAGGGCAGACAGAGACTGGAGAAACTGAAGAATATTGGTCTGATCTACAGTGACATAAACCCTGTGCTTAATGAACAATGACTGTTGTTAGTTAACACAATTTCTATGTTAAAATGTTGTATCCTCATCAGAAACATACCTGGAGTTGTGTTTTGTTTCATACATACATTTTAGGCTGCGTTCTTTCCTAAACACTCTGTTTCACCTTGTGATGTCATTGAGTGGTGATTCAGGAAAGGCTCCCTTTGTTTTTAAACTTCATACATCTTCACTAGAATCATCTGAATAATTTCAGCCCTGGAATTGCCAAACCTTGAAGCTAAAAGTATTTTTTTTTGGCCTTGTTGAAACATCTTTACTCCACAATACACAAAAAGATATTAGAGACCTTCTATATCAGACATGTCAGACTCAGGTCCAGGGGCCAAATTTGGCCTGCAATATAATTATATTTGGCCCACGAGATCATATCAAATCTGTATTAGAGCTGCCCACCGGCTACAGATAGACTATACAGACATGATTTCATCTTTTGTTATTATTTTAAACAAAACTATTATTAAACATTTATTTTAATAAGAAAAGGTTTAACATTACATATCTTGAAAGAAGAGAAAACATGCAGATGTTGAAAATTTTCAATAAATATTTAGTTTGACCCATGACAGTCCCAGTTTTTAATTTGTTTAATTTGTTTCAAATTGGCCCTCTGTGAATTTGAGTTTGACACTCCTGTCCTACAGCAATCTTATCTGAACAAAAGGTATCATAAAAGTAAATCAGTAGAAATGAAGCTAAAACAGCTGTTAACTACCACTTGATGACATCACAAGGTGGGACAGATCATTTTGAGTAGATACCATAATGATGCAGGATTGCTCAAACGTGTGAATGAAACAAAACACTCCAAGTCTGTTTTTTCAGGAAGTAACAACATTTGAACATGACTAAAAGCTCACATCAGTCAGTTTTACATAATGTAGGATATAATATACAGGGTTACACTTGTTTCTACACAATTTTGCTAAATGATACACACTTAGTCAATTGTCGTGACTAATGCTGACATTCAGACCAACACCAAACTGTATTCAGAGTTTGATTCATATTCTTTTCTTTGTACCAGCAATATTTTTTAGTGTTTTCCGTGCATTTATGATGGACATGTGCAGAAGCAGAATGAGAAAAAGGTGCAGAGGTGATATAAATCTGCCGTGTGTTTGAGCAGCCCATGAATCCAGTGTGCTTTGAACCTGACATGTCCCCCTGCTGCAGCTCTCCACACGCGCTTTTATGTGGGACTCAATGAGGTGCAGAGGAAATGCACTCAGTCACATACACATGACATCACTGTTTGTCACACGTGCACACAAACAGGAAAAATACGAGTGATAAAACTCTCTTGAACTCTTCTATATAGTTTGCTATGGCTGTATTTGACTGTTTAAAGTGGCTATTTGTACAACTTAAATTATACATGGAACACCTACACATAAAGGTCCAACAAGGAGAAATAATTCAGAAGTGAAACAGAGTGGATCATCCTTAAACAACCAGTCAGCTCTCACCTCATCTCATCTCTTTTGAGATATGTAATGTTAAATCTTTTCTTATTCAAATAAATGTTTAAAAATAGTTTAGCTTAAATATTGAATCCAGAACAAGCAGAATATAAAATAATAACAACATAGTCTATCTGTAGCTGGTGGGCAGCTCTAATACAGATTTGATATGATCTCTTGGGCCAAATATAATTATATCGTGGGCCAAATTTGGCCTCCAGGCCTGAGTCTGACATGTCTGATATATAGTGTCATATTGCTTATAGCTTAAAGGTGCATTTGCCAACTTTTCTGGTGGAGGGTCACCTAGCCAAGCTGGCGCCACCTAGTGCCTCTGCTCAATTTCATTTCTCTGCAGAGACTAGGTCAGGAATCAGAATACACTCAGCTGTGAGCTGTGAAGCCATGACATCAAACGCAAGTGCTGGTCTGGGTCCCTTTTGGTAAATGGTCACATTTTTCTATAGCACTTTTCCACCTTTGAGGTTTACAACTTTACACACATTCCCACAACAGTGTGAAAGCATTCATCTGTGGGAGCTGGAATCACAACAGCCAAACTGTGGGTCAGTGGATCTGACTGCTCAACCCATGATGTTTATGTCGAGGGTGGAATTCAAACCACCAACCTTCAGATCAGTGGCCATCGCTCTACCAACTGAGCGACTGCCGCTTTTATGGAACAGCACAACAGTAAACAAAGCATCGAGATGGATGTAGACAAAGCCAGACATTCTGTGTTGGCAACAATTCCCGAGATCGAGGATTTAAAGCCGGAACAAAGAGAATGTTTGGTAAATTTTATCAAGAGGAAAGACGTTATTGTTCTTCTTCCTACGGGATTTGATGCATTACATACGTCACGACCAAATAGCAGCGATTGGTTAAATAAAAAAAGTACCCTCCTACCGTTGAACGAAGGAATCCTAATGCTGCGAGGTCAGACGGTTTCCACGAAATGAAACTGGCTGCTGAATCAGGTTATCAGTCACCTGCTTGTCTCCATGGAGATGTTATTGCTTTGCTGGAATGTTCCATGATATGACACTGAACACCTCTATCTGGCATTTATGTCCCACTGGTGTTTCTAATGCTCAGAAAAACAATAATTCTCTCAGTGAGAAAGGTTGCATCTCCACAGACCTGAGCTGTAATGTAGCCTATAGTTGTCTCCCTTAAGATAAGAAGGTTTAATCTCTACCATGGAACATTTTAGACTAAGCAGAACATCTCAATGAACATAACCAGGTGACAGACCCTCTACCAGAAAAGTTGCGCAACCTTTAAATTTACAATAAATCAAATATTGTAGATAAAGACGGTGTCTACCTGTTTAACAATAAGCAGAAATGATTGAGAGAATTTTTGAGAAAAACTTGAGGCCAGGCTCAGGAAGGACCTGTGGAAAAGCACCTTTATTCACTTTGTTTTTCTTTCTGTCTTTCTTATCTTCAGCAAAGCAGTTTCTACCAGCTGCTGCGCTCTGGCTGGCCTGTAAGTATCACCTAACTGTGTACACTCTGCCTTAAAGACGTGCATGTTGACCAGACATTGGGTTGTTGTTTGTGAGCTTTCAGAGGGAAGAAGGCCCCGAAGGACCACCTGGAGAGATGGGCAAACCTGGTCATCAGGTCAGACACTGTACATTATTATTATTAAATTCTTGTAAATGAGATAGAGATAGAGCTATATTCACTTATGCTGGTGTGTGACCTCGTTGCAGGGTCCACGTGGTGAAGCTGGAGAACGAGGCCGACCGGGAATTCCGGGAGAAATGGTTAGTTCATTTTTACAAAACAGTGTCTCAAAATTTTTATCCAGGTGTTGTGTAAAAAAGCTAAGCGGCCCTCACCACCACCAGGCTCTAGAGAGTTTACTTTTACTATGGACAAAAAAGAATTAAATGCAGGTAGGGTCATTTGTTGAGAAGCTGTAGTTCCAAAATCATAAATGGTAAGGCCAAAATGATCATCTGGATTGTGCAATGTTTATTATAAATGATGTCATAACCTCCTGTTGTTCTCTTGGACCCAATCTCATGTCCCATCTTATCCACCCCTAGTTTCTGGATTTTGTGGTTAGCCGTGTAAACTGCTTACTGCATACTTAACGGTCATTAGCTTGCCTTTATCCAGCTGAAATCAACAGCTGAATAATGTTATAAAGTCATGTCTATTCAAATGATGTAAGAAATGAACTCACCTGTAAAGTGCATGTATTGTTTTTGTTTGCATATTGACAGAAATGATCCCGTTTCTCTTTGTGATGTAAAAGTTCCACATGACGTACGGCAGTGCATATTTACATTGAGTTTAGTCATGGCTGTGTGTTTGAAAGAATACTCATAAACATCAGTCAGTGTGTTAGTGTGGAACATGCGAGTCACAGTCATTCAGTGTGGAAGGGCTAAACACAGAGTAAGTGCCCATTTAACTCCTCTAACAGTGTTTGTGTCCACAGAACACGGCACTGCTCTGGCTCTTTTGCACTAAATGACTGTTTCTCATGCAAGCTTTTTTTTTTGGTGATCACCCTATAATATACAACAGTACTATGTCCCTGTGAGCGTTTAGCATCCTGGAGAGATGCTGTGGGTCACTCCTCCTATTTCAGCTCCAAGACTTTTGCTTTCAGCAGATCCTCACCGCTCCACTTGAGTGACACTAGAAATGTGAAAGTCATTTGAATCATTTGAATAGTGAGGTCATAATCAAACACTTTCACTGATTTAAAGGAATGTGTATTATTTGTGTTTGGACTGATGATGAAATGATTGCTGTGACATTTCTGCAACTCTACTACAATTACTATTTTAAAACATTTATTCAAATAAACTTAAAATGTTGCCCTTGACATCAGTGAGAGTAGCTCTTGCTTCTGGGGCTCCTACTCTTTCTAAACTTTCAGTCCCATTTAAACTTAAAGCATTTTTATTTGTTTAGAGTTTGAACTGTCTCCATGTTTATATCTCTCTAATTTGATCCTTTCAAATATTTGAAGTATAACTTTCACACAGAGGCAGTGTGCTTCACAGCTGACACCAGTTTAAGTGACTGAGTGAGGACAGGGCTGGGAAATATAGTGATCTCATTCCTGTGATGACATGCTATTTTAATAACATTGTTATTCATCGTGATTCACAAGTTTTCTTGTGAATGCAGCTCTATGCTCAAACAAAACTGTTTTTCTCACACACTCTCACACTCTTAACAAGGCCCTGAGGGATCGACAGGTGGACTTTGCCGTCTCTACAAACTGATATTAAGATACAAACTTTTACTAGTGATAAAATTCAACTCATGATCTGGCTCCAACAAAAAACATTATATTTATTTTAGGGCATATTGCTGGCCCCTTAAACAAGCAGCAGAGAAGCCAACAAACAAAACACTGTGCTCTTTTTCTCAGGGGGAGATGGGTCTTAGAGGCCCTCCAGGACCACAAGGACCTCCTGGACGAGATGGAGAGAATGGAGAGGACGGTCTGCCTGGGCCTCCTGGAGTCCCTGGATCTGCAGTTAGACACGATTCTCATAATCACACATACGACCCCCAGGGTTCTACAGGATGTGAAGTGTGTTTGTGTTTGTCCACAGGGCACGTGGGGCTATCGAGGAGAGAGAGGAGCTAAAGGGGAGAAAGGTGATGAGGTGAGAATAGACACTTTATTAAAGCTGCACTTTGACACTTTTTTGGTGGGGAGCAGCTAGATGTTATGACTTTGCCTGTAATGTTCCACTGTGTAGCATTAAACGTTTCTTTCGTGCATGTATTTGTCTCAGTAAATGATGGTAAAATGATTATATGAATGGTGTGTTTTGTTTTTCTGCTAAGGGTCTCATGGGCATTAGTGGACAAAGAGGAGACACTGGTGAACCTGGAGAGAAGGTACTTGATCAACCAAACCATGACAATGTCTGTATGTGGTGAATACAATAACAGATTGGTGGTGTTGTGTTTGACAGTAACTGTTTAAACACTGCCATGTTTTGGTTAAAAAGAACTAGGAACAGTGAGGTGGTGGTCGCAACAATGATCTTATCATAATGATAATAATACCTTTTATTTATTTGTGTCTTTTTAACCCTCAAGGTGACTTTACAAAGCATGAAAACAATATTAATACAACTAAAATAACTTTAAACACTAAGTTAATATAAATGGATGGGTTTTGAAGTGGGGCTTTTATTATACATTTTTTTTCCAGACCAGTCTGGAGTGTTGTGGACCTGAGCTGTCCTGCTGTCCTTCCACAGACAGGCCTGTTTCTGTGCCAGATTAAACAGACTACAGACTGCTGTTGTGTACAGAGTAATAACACAGGGTCCTAAAACACTGAACAGTCAGTAGTATTATTACTTTTGGAGTGCAGTTATTTTCTTCAAAGGTTTGATTATAAAGACTTATACTGTCATTATTCTGAATTTGGAAACTGACTATTACGGTGACGAGTTGACACAGGACTAGTACTACAATACCTGTGGGCTTTCCTTTATTTTGTGTGGTGAAGATTGTTGAGGGTAGTGGTGAGGAATGTGCTTTGTCAGCTGTCAGACTCTGGACCTTTCTGCTTCATCTGCCTCATCCTAAGCAAAAGAAATTGAAAAAATAAACAAACAATAAGTGATGTGTTTTTTTTTCCTGAATGATACGGGCTTGTTCTACCCCAGCTGTCAAATCTACAGGAAAAGGAAAGTATCACTCACAGACGTCCTGCACTGATCTGCTGCTCTCAGACCAGACTGACTGTGGGGACGGGTCTCAGTGAATGCACTGCTCTTCTGCATTTTCTGACATGCTTTTGTATTTTCAGGGTTCTGTTGGTTTACCAGGCCCTCTTGGATCTATGGGACTGCCAGTAAGTTTCATTCTGTGATTCATTCTTGATTTTCCCTTATACTCTTTAACACACCCATAACAGGACCAGGAGAATATGTGAAACTATCTCTCAAAGGTCAGGTGCAGACCTCAGTGTCATGAGTTCCTGTTGTCCTTCAACAAATTGAGTTGCAGTTTTGGAATTCCTTGTCGAGAATTATTTAGACCCCTTAACTAATTGTACTGTTTGAAAAAGGAATAATGTATTTGCTGTTTGCAGATACTTATCAATTTCAGCTACTATTGAAACTAGATACTCATTTGAGAAGGTATCAGTACTAAAAAAGTCACATTCAGGACAGAAATGAACCTTTCCTGAATGTCTTTAGAATGATGTTGAGCTGTATTAGAACAAGTAGAAGAGCACACGGACTAGTATTCTGAAGATTACACACATATAAGACACGTGGAAAATCACATTCTAAGGTGTAAAAACAATTTTTATATGTGGTATCAGAATCTATATTGAGTATCAAGTCTATTCTTTAGAATCAAAATCAAGTTTGAAATGTCATGACAACACTCTTCACAAATAACACCAGTCTTAAAAAGAGAAAATAATAATAGTCTATAAATGTGTATAAATCTATAAAATCACCAAGGTGGTTTTCCTTATGATTTTTGTCATTATTGTTTTAACAACTGGATTTGTGTTAAATAGCAGCAGTCGAAGCTCTGACCTGAGGTGTATGTTTGTGTTTTGAAGTGTAGTGATGGAGTCATATGTTTCTTCTCTAGGGGCCTCAGGGAGTGAGAGGGGTCGAGGGGCTCGAGGGCCCTCCTGGACCTGATGTAAGTTCTACATACACACACTTTTCACGCTTTTAATCACGTTTGTTTATCTTTTTTTTTCTTTTTCTTTTTTCCAGGGGGAAGCAGGTCAGGACGGCATACTCGGTTTGCCAGGCCCACATGTAAGTCGAACTGTAATTATAATAAGTATATATAATAAACTTCTTGTGAATTTTGTAAATAGAAGGTAAATATCCTAACTTCTGTCATAAGATCAAAATAAAAATCAATCAATCAAAGTTGACTATGAATATGAACACCAAAAACGTACATGATCTACAACACTCACCTGTGCCTCTGGAGCCTTGAATTCTATTCAAGTAAGAGTATCAGCACTTCAAAATGTTTATTCAAAAAAGACTAAAGCCACTACTAAAGTACTGTGGATCATCAGATTTACCTTGTATTATTCATGGAATCACATTAATTCTGTGCAAATTTGTGTATATTAAAGCTTTAACACATAAAAAATGTTACTGAGTAAATGATTCCCCGTCTCTGAAAAGTTGCAGATTGGTGACTGAGTGTGTGTTTTCCAGGGAGCTCCAGGTTTGACTGGACAAGTTGGGGTTCAAGGAGTCAGTGGTACACGGGTAAGATAACATTTACTGCACTGTACTTTAAAAAGGATTTATCAGCCTAGTGCTGCTGGTCAGTCTCCAGACCAGCTGTTACTCTCAGTGAGAACAGTATTTCTAATACTACACATCCAACCACAGCATTACTTGGAAGTCTTTTGCCTGAATGTGTTTCACCCTAATCCTCGAAACCTCCTGGATGTGTCAGCTGTACCTCTAACACCTGAACTTACATTGTTGGACACTTTGTCCAGTGCAGTATGTGACACTGACTCAAAGTTCTACACATTATCATTCTGGCTTCTGCCAGACAAATCTGGAACACCAAATATCTTGTTTAACTTATTTTTGTCTTCATAAATAAATTAAAAAAAAGTGTACAACTCTAGCAAAAGAGGTTACACTTGAAAATATTCAGCTGGGATCATTTTTTTTATTACCTCCGCCAAGGAGGTTATGTTTTTGCCGGCGTTTGTTTGTTTGTTTGTCTGTTTGTTTGTTTGTCTGTTAGCAACATAACTCAAAAAGTTATGGACCGATTTTGATGAAATTTTCAGGATTTGTTGGAAATGTGAAAAGGAAGAACTGATTTCATTTTGGGGCTGATCCGGAAGAAATCCTGGATTCTGGATCACTTTGAAATTTTAGTTAACATTGTGGTAAATGGGGCCAAAAATTTAGTTTCTCAATATCTCGGTTAATTATTGACCAAACCCCATGAAATTTGACTCAGGGATGGACAATGGGATGCTCTTTCATATTCCAAATTGAAAGATACGAGACAAATATTTATGGAAAACACAATTAATATGAGGGGGACTGTAGTCCTTGGCGGAGGTCTGCGCTCTCTGAGTGCTTTTCTAGTTTAACCTTCATTTCCCTTTGGAGTAATTTGTTTACTGATGTATCTATGTAACATTTAATACTGACATACCTACATACTGTAGTGTAGTGTAGTACTGTAGTTTACTAAAATACACCAATATCTTTTTTCCTCAAAGCACATCTGTCAGTAGATTTAACTGTTCTTTGAACACATTTTGCAGGGTGACATGGGTCCTGCTGGCAGTGTGGGCCTGCCTGGTCCTCAGGTACATAACTATATACATGTTCTAAAGAACTTTTTATAGAAAAAAATATTTCACAAAAAAACTGTGTCCAAACTCTGTGTGCTTTTGTCCAGGGTCCTCCAGGGTTAGAGGGCCAGATAGGAGTCACTGGACTTAGGGGCCTTCAGGTAAGAACAACACCAGGCATGATTAAGCTGTTATCTGGAGAAGAGGTTCATGTAAACACAATATTCCACAGGGACCCCCAGGACCGACTGGAGCAGCTGGGCCGAAAGGAAACCCTGTAAGTAAAGTGTTTACTGAAGCATGTGTTCAACACAGTGTCTGGTTTAAGTGAGTTCTTCTGTTTTATCCTGTAGGTACAGTATATGTCTGTAGGAAGTAGGAATATATTTAGAATAATAATAATATATATATTTTTTTTAACCCAGAATCTAACAGAGACATAACTTTGTGATTTTTTTTTTACCCTTTTTACCCTCAGTCTTGTATTCTACATTCTGCATACAGTTTGTGATCTCTCTGTATGTGAATGCTCTGAGTTCCAGTGAGGACATGACTGTGTATTCACATACACTGATAAACATGTGGTACAGCAGGGCCCTGTACACTGCTCTGTCTGAACACTACAAACCTCTGATAGTTTATCTGGGTTTGTGTCTGCCTTGTGTTTATGTTACAGGGGCCGCTGGGGCCTGCTGGCCCTCGGGGGGAGCCTGGCTTCGAGGGGCCCATGGTGAGACTGAACACAAATGACATTACACTGTAGTTGACTGAATGTCAGTCCAGGTCCCAGACATTTCAAATACTGCATTTGTAAGAAACAAGTGTCCTGGTAGTGAGGCCTGGTGCACGGGGCCATCTAGTGGACACTTACAGCAGAACTATTCACTGGTAGCTCTACTGATGCTTGTCCTCTTTTATTCCTTTCTTTAATGTATTCTAGTGTCAGCTGTATGTGTGAATAATAGATTTCTCATTAGTCACACCAGTGTTCTTTTATCACATTGCGGTGGACCTTTGCTATTGATGGCACTGACGTGCTCCTTTTCACTTCTCAGAACAACAAAAATAACTATTTACAACTCATTTGGAAATGTCTTAGTGAATAGTTAATGTTAGAATTCGACACTCCACCAACAAAGCTGTTCTGTTTAGGGTCCAGTCAAGCAGTAACGGAGGGAAACAGGGGCAGATTTTTGACATTCAAATGTCTCTTATTCAGAAACTAGAGGGACTATTGAAATAAGTAAAGTATCAGAATGTAGGAAAGAGTTACACTCCAACAGGGTCAAGTTAAACCTGTGATATTCTTTCAAGTTGTTGACAAAAAATTTAAAAAACTCATGTCGGTAACGGAGGGAATGAAATATGCAGCACTTTTTGGGCAATAAATCCAAACAGTGATAACTCTTGGTTCTCACTTCCATATCCTTAACAAACTGGTTTGAATATTTGCTTCATATAGTTTTCTACCATATGGTACAAGATTAGGTTGAAAAACCTCTTACTTTTTGACTCATGAGATTTTTTATTAAGAAAGGTCATGGTAACGGAGGGAAAATTGTACAAGCAAGTAGAAGGTGCAGGATTTTACATCATTTGTCAACTTTTTTCTTCTGAATATTTTAATATATTTTCAAAATGAAAGGAAACAATTTCTATAAAATATGTCAGTCCTTCCAAGCTAATTTTTATCATTTTAAATACCTTTAAAAAAAAAAATTCATGTACCTTCAACAACAGTTCAAAGATGGAATAACACAAGATATGATGAAATACATCCATTTATTTACATGATTTGCAGGTCTTTGAAATTTGGGAAATAATTTTTGTTCCATGTTTCATACATGGTCTGTTTAAAACGTATGGAACTTTAGAACCAAAAATGGTACAGAAAAAGGTCAACAGTTTCATAAACTAGAGTACATATGTATCTGTTCAATACATTTTTATATCAGATACATTAACTTGAATTTTTGGCCTTGCTGTTTATTTCTGCTTGACCGGGCCCTTTAGTAACACTTAATGTGTCTTGTGTTGTGTGTGTATTCTTGTATTGTGTCTATTGTGTGTGTTCTCTTGTATTTGCTGTGTGTGGACATTGTACAGACTATGTCTTTTTTCTGTCATAACCACTGTTTGGCTGTCAAATCTTTTTCAGGGCCCACCGGGGACAAAGGGGGAGGCAGGATTTCCTGGAGCTCCAGTGAGTAAGACACACCTAATGATGTGCCACATGGACTTTTTACTTGGACACTTATTGTTTTCTCTCTTACCCAGGGCCCCCGGGGTCCAGATGGGGACAAGGGAGACCAAGGAGCCAAAGGAAGCCGAGTAGGAACATATTTACCAAACAGCGAACAGGCCACAATATGATTGATGAATGGTTGTTCTTTGCTCTTCTCAGGGCATGATGGGGGCCGAAGGCATTAGGGGCCCTCAGGGAGAGAGGGGCCCCACTGGTTTCATGGGTTTCCCTGGAACAAAGGGCCATCTTGGAGCCAAAGGCCCAGAGGTATTGTTATAAGAGTAAAATCTAAAGCAAAACATAACAGAAAATGGTCCTCTGCATTTTCTAGACATAAGAAGACAAAATTAACATCTTTGGCTAAATGATAATCAGCTGCTTATACAACACAATGAAGAGGTCAAAGGCTGTTTCCTCATCTAGAGGAACCAGTCAAATATAGCACAGAGGAGCACACCTTGTTAATGGTTAGGCCATAGTAACTAAAAGACATCAAGAAGACAGGAGACTTCATCACGAAGCTCCATGAGATAAGGCCAAAGTTTTACTGTGACGGCAAAGGGTGGAGACTCTCAAGGCTTCATAATAAAATATAGAAACATATTTAGTTGAGTTATTGAAATGTTTTTTTCTATGCTCCATACACTATATCCACTCATCTTGCTTTAATGTGTTTCTGTATCTACAATGTAGAAAGTAGAAAACAGAAAGAAACAACATTGAATGGAAAGGTGTGTCTAAACTTGACACAGTATACAGTACATTCAATAGAAGTATACAGTACATTCAATAGAAGTATACAGTACACCAATAGAAGTATACAGTACACCAATAGAAGTATACAGTACATTCAATAGAAGTATACAGTACATTCAATAGAAGTATACAGTACACCAATAGAAGTATACAGTACACTCAATAGAAGTATACAGTACACCAATAGAAGTATACAGTACACCAATAGAAGTATACAGTACATTCAATAGAAGTATACAGTACATTCAATAGAAGTATACAGTACACCAATAGAAGTATACAGTACACCAATAGAAGTATACAGTACATTCAATAGAAGTATACAGTACACCAATAGAAGTATACAGTACACTCAATAGAAGTATACAGTACACTCAATAGAAGTATACAGTACACCAATAGAAGTATACAGTACATTCAATAGAAGTATACAGTACACTCAATAGAACTATACAGTACATTCAATAGAAGTATACAGTACATTCAATAGAAGTATACAGTACACCCCATAGAAGTATACAGTACACCAATAGAAGTATACAGTACACCAATAGAAGTATACAGTACATTCAATAGAAGTATACAGTACACTCAATAGAAGTATACAGTACACCAATAGAAGTATACAGTACACCAATAGAAGTATACAGTACATTCAATAGAAGTATACAGTACACCAATAGAAGTATACAGTACACTCAATAGAAGTATACAGTACACCAATAGAAGTATACAGTACATTCAATAGAAGTATACAGTACACCAATAGAAGTATACAGTACACCAATAGAAGTATACAGTACATTCAATAGAAGTATACAGTACACTCAATAGAAGTATACAGTACACCAATAGAAGTATACAGTACATTCAATAGAAGTATACAGTACACTCAATAGAAGTATACAGTACATTCAATAGAAGTATACAGTACATTCAATAGAAGTATACAGTACACCAATAGAAGTATACAGTACACTCAATAGAAGTATACAGTACACTCAATAGAAGTATACAGTACACAATAGAAGTATACAGTACACCAATAGAAGTATACAGTACATTCAATAGAAGTATACAGTACACCTCAATAGAAGTATACAGTACACCAATAGAAGTATACAGTACACCAATAGAAGTACAGTACACAATAGAAGTATACAGTACACCAATAGAAGTATACAGTACATTCAATAGAAGTATACAGTACACCAATAGAAGTATACAGTACACTCAAATAGAAGTATACAGTACACCAATAGAAGTATACAGTACATTCAATAGAAGTATACAGTACACTCAATAGAAGTATATAGTACACCAATAGAAGTATACAGTACAACTCAATAGAAGTATACAGTACACAATAGAAGTATAAGTACACCAATAGAAGTATACAGTACACTCAATAGAAGTATACAGTACACCAATAGAAGTATACAGTACACCAATAGAAGTATACAGTACATTCAATAGAAGTATACAGTACACCAATAGAAGTATACAGTACACCAATAGAAGTATACAGTACATTCAATAGAAGTATACAGTACACCAATAGAAGTATACAGTACACCAATAGAAGTATACAGTACACTCAATAGAAGTATACAGTACACAATAGAAGTATACAGTACAATAGAAGTATACATACACAATAGAAGTACAGTACACAATAGAAGTATACAGTACACTCAATAGAAGTATACAGTACACCAATAGAAGTATACAGTACACTCAATAGAAGTATACAGTACACACCAATAGAAGTATACAGTACACTCAATAGAAGTATACAGTACACCCAATAGAAGTATACAGTACATTCAATAGAAGTATACAGTACACTCAATAGAAGTATACAGTACACTCCATAGAAGTATACAGTACACCAATAGAAGTATACAGTACACCAATAGAAGTATACAGTACACCAATAGAAGTATACAGTACACTCAATAGAAGTATACAGTACACCAATAGAAGTATACAGTACACTCAATAGAAGTATACAGTACACCAATAGAAGTATACAGTACACTCAATAGAAGTATACAGTACACTCAATAGAAGTATACAGTACACCAATAGAAGTATACAGTACACCAATAGAAGTATACAGTACACTCAATAGAAGTATACAGTACACCAATAGAAGTATACAGTACATTCAATAGAAGTATACAGTACACCAATAGAAGTATACAGTACACCAATAGAAGTATACAGTACACTCAATAGAAGTATACAGTACACCAATAGAAGTATACAGTACATTCAATAGAAGTATACAGTACACCAATAGAAGTATACAGTACATTCAATAGAAGTATACAGTACACCAATAGAAGTATATAGTACACCAATAGAAGTATACAGTACACTCAATAGAAGTATACAGTACATTCAATAGAAGTATACAGTACACCAATAGAAGTATACAGTACATTCAATAGAAGTATACAGTACACCAATAGAAGTATACAGTACACTCAATAGAAGTATACAGTAGTACACCAATAGAAGTATACAGTACATTCAATAGAAGTATACAGTACACCAATAGAAGTATACAGTACACACTCAATAGAAGTATACAGTACACAGTACACCAATAGAAGTATACAGTACACTCAATAGAAGTATACAGTACACCAATAGAAGTATACAGTACACCAATAGAAGTATACAGTACACTCAATAGAAGTATACAGTACACTCCATAGAAGTATACAGTACACTCAATAGAAGTATACAGTACACCAATAGAAGTATACAGTACACTCAATAGAAGTATACAGTACACCAATAGAAGTATACAGTACACTCAATAGAAGTATACAGTACACCAATAGAAGTATACAGTACACCAATAGAAGTATACAGTACACTCCATAGAAGTATACAGTACACTCAATAGAAGTATACAGTACACTCAATAGAAGTATACAGTACACAATAGTATACAGTACACCAATAGAAGTATACAGTACACCAATAGAAGTATACAGTACACTCAATAGAAGTATACAGTACACCAATAGAAGTATACAGTACACTCAATAGAAGTATACAGTACACCAATAGAAGTATACAGTACACCAATAGAAGTATACAGTACACTCAATAGAAGTATACAGTACACTCAATAGAAGTATACAGTACACCAATAGAAGTATACAGTACAGTACACTCAATAGAAGTACATACAATAGAAGTACACTCAATAGAAGTATACAGTACACTCAATAGAAGTATACAGTACACTCAATAGAAGTATACAGTACACCAATAGAAGTATACAGTACACTCAATAGAAGTATACAGTACACTCAATAGAAGTATACAGTACACTCAATAGAAGTATACAGTTCACCAATAGAAGTATACAGTACACTCCATAGAAGTATACAGTACACTCCATAGAAGTATACAGTACACTGCAGACCATGATTGGAGTTGAGGCCATTGTGACTATAATGTTTACATTTACCTGCAGTGACTTTTTATTAAGCCAGGGTCATTTTTATCAGTTGACAAATGTAAGATTATGATTCAGTCACATTGTTTTCTTGAGATAATTGAATTATTATCTCAGTCGAACAGCGTTACAGACACATGTTGGATTACTGTAGGTGTTTATATATTCACTTGACCAGAAGGGACTAACGGAGCACATTTGTTGATGCTTGATGATGTGCTTGTGCTGATGTTACTTCACCAGGGCCCTGATGGAGAAGCTGGGGCACAAGGAAAGCAGGGAGCCCCAGGTTCAAAGGTCAGTTATGAGGCTACTTTATACAATATTTATACATATTTTAGTAATAGAGAATTGATTGTACTTCATTAGATTTATGTCTATCAAGTTGCATTTTTGTGCAGCTTTGTTACCAGGTTCTGTGATGTAGAATCAGAGGTTTTAAAGCTAGTCTTGTGGGCAGTGTTGTAAATGTGGGATTATATACTGTAAAAGATTGGTGATGTGGACTTTTATCCGTGTTTTGGGAATGTGTGTTTTCTGTTGTGTTGCCTTTTCTAAGTTTTCTCAACTAAAAACATCCCACTGTACCTGCGCTCCTCTCCTCTGTTCTCCTCTGTTCTTACCATCCGATTCAGAACCAGTGGATTTTATTCAACAGATATTTCTCAGTATTCTGTGGTATTCGTGGAGAAAGAAAAGTAGTGATAACACTGAAACTAATAAATGATGAAGGTGCATAGAGACAATAAAGAGGAGTGAGCGATGCTGAGATGTTTTGATCTGTCCCTTTAGGATCAGTTAGAGTTAGAGGGAGGCTCAGAGCTCTCAGACAGAGCCTCCATCATTACACTAAGAGTCCTTTAAACATGTGCTGTTGAATGACATTGATGTGCTGTGTGCGTGTGTGAAGGGCAACAGAGGAGCAGACGGACGCAGCGGTAAAGCAGGCCCAAGAGGACACAGGGTAAAGTGCTCTAAACCACCGTTCACTCTGTCTGTCTCTGCACTGTACTGTACTTATGGATTATGTCGTTCATTCTGCAGGGGCGGACTGGTCCCAGGGGTCATACGGGTCAGCCAGGCCCACTGGTAACTACTTTCACATGTTAACTACAAAATAATGAAGTTATATAATCTATATATATATATATATATATACAACAGGATAAAATTATTATTATTATATTATAGGGGTGGGTGACATTGACAAAAATGAATATCTCTATATTTTAGTTGCATTATGTTGATCACGATATTCAGACAATATTAAACTAAACGTGAATGGACCATAAAAGTATCCACAAAAAAAAAAAAAAAAAAAAAATTGGAGATTACACCAGACGTTTCATCAACATTTTTATAACTTTTATTGCTAAAGAGACAATACACTCGATATTCTAATTTTACGTATCTCCTAAACAATAATTGTGTTTTTATTCATTTTTCAATATATCTTCCACCCCTATTATATTACAAATGACATATTTATTTTTTCTTTTCCTAATACATCTGTGTATTTGTGTAAAGGGTTTGCCTGGACCTCCAGGACCAGTGGGAGCAGAAGGAAAGCCTGGTACACAGGTTCCCATTCTCTACCATATTCATAATGATCTCTGTTCATCATCTTATTTAACCCTTCATTTCATGTGCATCTATTTGGACAATGTATCTTATCTCCATATGCAGTCCTCAAACTAACAGTTTCACGAGCTCAGTCGATTCAGTTCCAAACCAACTGTGGCCGGTTATTTTCAGGTTTTAGATGATAATTCTATAAAGATATCTCACTCAAGAGGCACTTTAACATATTGAATTTAAGGCATTTTTATAAGTATACAGAAGGAAATATTTCTCAAATGATAGCACAGTTTATTTCTTAATTAAAAGTCTATAGAAGTGTTGTGATGTCATTTCAAACCTAGCAGTTGCGTGACTATTATTACCAATATGTAGACTGATACATAAATCTTCCACAGCTTGAATATTCAAAGTGGACACACTCACAATAGTGCGTGTTTACAGATGCTGCAAACACAACTGTAACACACTGCCTGTTACAAATTCTTTTAGAAAAACACGTGACTGTTATTCATCTCAGTCTCATTGGATTTAAACAAATTAAGGTCTGGTTTTACTTCACATACATGAGCAAAACTGTGCTTCCTCCTAAAATGCCATTACAACAAGAATCTCGAGGGACTGAATATCAAACATGTGAAGGCTTTTAGCTGCACCGTGTCACCAGCAGAGGGCAATATCTGATAATCTTGTATGTCTGTGATGCTGAAAAATCAATATTTGATCTCTTCAGTATTTGAGCCACTGAAATCATGCCAGATCAAACCCCCAAACGACAAGGCTCCAAGGATTATCACAGTGAGATTGTGAACTGCAATTATGAACTACAATCAATCATGTAATATTTTGAATTATGTGTAAAAGCTGCTAACCCTCTATAAACGTCTTGTATTTGATTCTTGTATTAGTTTAACATATTTAATTTAAGTCTAGAACATGAGTTACAAATTAAATCACATTGTCTTGTCAGAACTGAAGTGAGATGTTTTTCCACAAACTTTCAGCAATAACAAAGTAAAGACTTAAATGAGACAAATGCCTTCTCCCTTGCTGAATGTGTTTTTGTTGTGTCTGTTCCAGGGTCCTCCAGGAGCAGGGGGCAGCGTGGGCAGTAACGGGCCAGCGGTGAGACACTTGACCTCCACCTCTCTTTCTTTCTTCACTCAGAATAATGAATAGAGACGCCACAGTAGCACCATGTGCCGTGTGCTTCCATTGCCAATGAGAAGAATGAGTTTGTTTAAAGCTCCAGTAATTCACCAGATGGATTCTTTTCAACTTCAACCCACGTGATGATGTTGCTTCCTCGTCAAAAACAGATCTGCAGTTGTGTTCACGTGTTTGGGTAAACTTGTGGTAGTTTTCAAGTGAACAGCTCTTTTTACCTTCAGTTCAGTAGAGATATTTAGCCTAATTCATCAACCGGTTTCACTTCGTAGAAACTGTGTGACCTCGCAGCATTAGGATTCGTTCGCTCAACTGTAGGTGGGTACTTTTTTTATTCAACCAATCGCTGCTATTTAGTGGTGATGTATGTAATGGGGCTAACTGGTATATTAAGCTTTTCCCAAATCCTGTAGGAAGAAGGACAATAACATCTTTCCCCTTGATAAAATTCACCAAACATTTTCTTTGTTCCGGCTTTAAATCCTCATCTAGTGTATTCTGATTTCTGACCTAGTCACTGGAGAGAAATGAAACTGAGCGGAGGCACTAGGTGGCACCAACCTGGCTAAGAGATTGACACTTCCAGAGCTGAAAATATCTGAATGATTCTAGTGAGGGTGTATGGAGTTTAAAACACAGTGGAGCACTTCCTGTATTATCACATGACATCACAAGGTGGAACAGAGTGTTTTCAGTTTGAGAGAACACTGTAAAATTGAATAAGTCGACCTTACTTGAAAAAATCTAGGAAATCGAAACTTGAAAAATCTGATTAAAGTGGAGTGTGAGTCTAAAGCTGAGTTACAAATAATTCCTCAGTTTAGTGTTCAGTGAATTCCTCTTTTATCTAACCAGGCACAACAAGTGAAGTGAACTTTAGTTTTCATTCATAGAATCATGTTGTGAAGCTGAGCCAACCAATCAGTCAGTTCCTCAAATCTGTAGTGGAGCACTGTAGTAAAATTTACTTTAAGAGTAAGTTAATCGGATTTGGTAAAAACCATGAAACCGATTGTCTTGAATTGAGCAAGTAAATGTTACTTCTATACACAAGTGAGAGTAAAAACAGGTTCTATTCTACAATAATGCCATTTAGGGCCTGTTTATACGAGAACACTTGCGGGTAAAAACGACAGCATATTTTATCGAAAGTGTCTTTTGTATAGATGGTGACGCCGTTTTTGGGGCTTAAAAATGCAAAAATCTGAAACTGCCCTCCAGAGTGGAAAAGTTTAATAAGCTCTGCCATACATTTCCATCTACACTGCCCAAGACACAAAACTCTGGACACAAAAGGTCTGCTCAGGTCGTGTACGCGTTTACATCACATACACACAGTACACAGAAACAAACATGTGGGATCATTTCCATGTGTTCAAGCTTCTCTGGCAGCTCGCATAAACTTACAGGAGGCAAAACAACAAATGTACAGAATCTGCAGAGATACTATTAGTGAACAGAGAAGGATCTGCAATCACCTCTGTCAAATTCTGGATGCAGCAGTTTGTCACAGGCGAACCAGACCCAATTGAATTCCACACACATTTGCATCACTGTATGCACACAGATTGCCTCCCAAAAATGCTCCTCTAAATGAATAATAAAAAGTGAAGATGCTACTCCACTTTTGCATCTTCTGTTCAGACCATCATCATGTAAACATAGCCTTGGATCTGCATCAGGTACAAGGATTTGAATATTTATTAGACTTTGAAAAACACTGTAAAACTTTTGTCCAGCTTATGTTCAAAACACATCGTAACATGTGTAACAATAAAATAATAAAGCTCGATCATTCCATGTTGACTAATCCAAGAAACCACTCTTAGGGATCAAAAACGGTGGAAGAAATAAAAAAGTGTACAGGTTTAATCAAGCACCGACTGAATGAACAGAGGGAGGATATAGAGACTGAATGAACAGAGGGAGGATATAGAGACTGATGAACAGAGGGAGGATATAGAGACTGAATGAACAGAGGGAGGATATAGAGACTGATGAACAGAGGGAGGATATAGAGACTGAAAGAACAGAGGGAGGATATAGAGACTGGATGAACAGAGGGAGGATATAGAGACTGATGAACAGAGGGAGGATATAGAGACTGATGTACAGAGGGAGGATATAGAGACTGGATGAACAGAGGGAGGATATAGAGACTGATGAACAGAGGGAGGATATAGAGACTGATGAACAGAGGGAGGATATAGAGACTGGATGAACAGAGGGAGGATATAGAGACTGAATGAACAGAGGGAGGATATAGAGACTGGATGAACAGAGGGAGGATATAGAGACTGGATGAACAGAGGGAGGATATAGAGACTGAATGAACAGAGGGAGGATATAGAGACTGGATGAACAGAGGGAGGATATAGAGACTGGATGAAGAGAGGGAGGATATAGAGAGGCTCTGGGAGGATCAGGGAGTGAGTGGCGGCTGTAGGAAAAACAGGGAGGAAGCAAAAGTCAGACCGGAACAAACTGGAAAATGGAGCTGGACTCTTGTCAATAATACGTCACTGTTGAAGTCACTCGTCTCATTCAAGTCGACCTGAGTCTAACTGACAAGTCATGTGCTTTTTTTCACTCTGAAATTCACTATTATTTTATCACAATCATTAAGATCCACTAATTCGTAGCTGTAAGTAAAATAAACGAGCTGAATGCAAGCAAAATGTGTGAATGAAACTAAAAGAAAACCCCAGGTATGCTTTTGATGAGGAAACAACATTATAAATAGATCAGAAAATAGTGTACGGTAATACGGGCTCTTTAATAAATACCTAATCAATTTTCATTTTATTGTAGAGTAGAGCCGTGCTACAATGCTTCATCTTGTGACAACAGTGGTGACAGCAGCTGGTCAGACAGCAGCTGCTCATTGTGCTCTTTATTTTCTGTTGGTGTGATCCTCATTAATTATATCATATTTATGAATCATCCGGCTGTGTTTGTTTTTCATCTCTGTTTTGCATTTTTGTTTTTCTTTCAGGGCTTCACAGGTGTTTTTGGGGAGAGAGGAGCAGACGGAGCGCCTGGATCCCCTGTAGGTTTTGCCTCTTTTAGGATTACGGATTAATGGAAAAAGCTGTGCTAGTGCTGTTCTCAGTTGCATTAAATTGTTCAGTTAATGTGTTCCTCTCAATTTGTAGGTTTCAACATTTTTGTTCCATTTGAATTTGTTGTTTTTCAGCAATTGCTACAAGTTTAAATGCATAATTACATCCCTGTTACACACCCTTTGGCTCACAATGTAAACCTCCTGCTCTCTGAGTGTTAAAGGGACACTGTGTAACTTTACTGGCAGAGGATTCAACAGCGTGTTTCTATGACTGTTTACCTAGAAACATAATCTGTATTAAAGGGCCCATCTCATGTAAGATCAACTTTCTACCTTCTAAGAGTGATGTGTGGGCCTTGTATTTGTCACCGAAGTGTTTTTTAGATTGATTTGGTGTTTTTTTAACAAAATGCAGTGTATTTCTGCCACCCTCCCACGTGACAATGAACTAAAGCTGCTACAACGATGATGCAGCAGACACACCTATGACATGTTTGACGTAGCAGAAAGCGCTTCACCCCCGCCCCCCTCCACCACCTCCACCCCACATCGACACCTAAACAAAAGCAACATTATACTAAGTTGATCTACTAGTGTTTATTAATATTTTACCAATCAGTAATGTTCAGCTGATGTGGACGCGGTGCTTGAGCTTCGTGCTCCTCAAAGTCCTCGTCCGATTCCGGGTCCAACACATGCAGCTGAACGCGCTGTATCTCCATGATGAATAAAAGTTTATTCTACCACTATCAGGGTCACACCTGTCTCCCCCTCCCTCCCTGAGATGGACGGAGGAAGGGCGGCTCACTCGTCGCCTACGTCACGTTTGGAGGGTGGAGCCTGTGCTTTCTCAGGACGGGCGGGGGGAGGAGCAATAGTCAGACTTTCATAGTTCCTGGTCTGTAACTGACTCCAAGAAATCAGTAAGATTTCATAACTATTGTGTAATGGATGTTCGAAAACCCAAATTGTGCTTGTTTATGTGCAGAAGATACAATGTGAAAAGAGTTTTTTTTACATGAGATGGGCCCTTTAAACATTACATTCAATCAATGACACATGCCTTGAAAACATGTGGAACATCCAGGCACAGCAATAACATCTCCATGAAGACAAGCAGGTGATGGACCCTCCACCAGAAATGTTACATAATGCACTTTTAGTAATGATTCCATAAACTTTATTATCCTTAAAACTAGGCCTGTCACCATAACAAAAAGAAGCACGACATATCGCTACAGAGAAAAATCACAATAAATGATAATACTGAATCTATTTTATGCCACTTCATGCAACGCAGGATAATCCCAGTAAACCAGTTTTAAAATAATCAGTATAAATAAAGGCCTGAACTACAACAGATTATAACAGGATTAAGTGATAATTATCTATAAATTTTACTTTTTCAACCTTCCACAGTGCAAATATTTTCAAATAAGTACAACCTATTGCAACTGTACATACCATAAATATATAGTTCCAGCAGTTCATGTATTGAATGAAAAGTCGATATAGTAATCATCGTGACAGGCCTAATTAAAACATTAAACATTAAGGACCCAGTGCAGACAATAATGAAAACAGTGAACAACATTAAAAAGACAGAAGAGTATTATGTGTGGTGCTCTGGGAGATGAGCAGTTTGACTGAGGCACTTGTTCATGACTCTGCAGAGCTGCACCACACAAAGCAGCTCAAGAGACGCTGAAGGTTGTGCACTTCTGCTTTAGACAAATCTGGACTGGGCTAATGTGTGTTCAGATGGGTTGAAAGAGTGAGGTTCAACCGGCTCAGATGGGGATCAAACTGATTCACACTGACGGGGCCTAAACAGGCTTTAGGGAGATCTAGACTAGGACCAACACATTCTCTATTGTCTTCTGTTGTAAAAGTAAAAATAAAGCCAAGTTCTCAAAGTGGTGATAGTGAACGTGCTTGTAACAGTAGAGACAGTCGCTGTGTCTGCGGTCAGCTCAGATTTGTCCTAGCCTCACTGCCACAGACAGAGCCCCGTGCCAGCCTTTCTTTTGATGCATTGTCTCTTGCATGGATCAATATTGTTACTGTTCACTGCTTTTGTATTTTATGTTGACAGGGCCCTACAGGGAAACCAGGACCTCCGGGTGCACCAGGACCTCCAGGGGAGAGCGTGAGTCTATCAGCCCTCATATCACATAACAAAGAGTGGGCAGATTTTATATGGCCCTTACATGTCCAAGGACAAATCGGACATTTCATCATGTGGCTCTGGAGCGTTCATTCATCGATTGGTGTTTTACGACTTGTCTTATCTCAACTCTGCGATGGCAGATTTTTATTACCCCTCAAAAGACAAAGCAGAGCGGACATGACTGGTGTTCAAACTGCTTCAATGTGCTGCTGTGAAAGCAGCAGTTTACTTTCACTAATCACACTGACCACAGAGACACTCAGCTGGGGAATGTGCAGGTGCTAGGTCACTTTCTGGATTTTCATTTCATTATCATTTTCATTCTGAGTTTGATTATTCACATATTACAGTTTCACCATAAACTTGAATCAGCTAAATCTTGGCAGTGAAACAGACGTCTCTTAGTTGCATTTTTGATTTGTTCCTCTCATAAAAATGTACTGTAGTACAATGAATAATAATACATAATGTACTGTAGTACAATGAATAACTATAACAAAATGTACTGTAGTACAATGAATAACAACACATAATATAAAGGCACATAACAGAAAGCATTTCCATGATTAGAAAGGAGCAGCTCTGTTAGTTCTTCATTTACATTTAAATTCAGTTGTTCAGTGGTCTTGCAGTTGTCTCAGCCCCCCACCTGTGTGAACCATCCATACATTTATTTTCACTTATCCAGAGTGTAAAGCTCATGACCATAGCTGAGAGTAGGAGTGAAG